CCCCCCCCACACCCCCGTCACTCTTTTGCTCCATTTTAACATACCCTTTTTAATTTCCTTTACAGCTAAATCCTGGTCAGAAAAAAATGGCAGAAATTTCCCTTACACCAGCTGTTATAGGATCTAGTGAGGATTTTAAAATATAATAGAGTTGCAGCCTGCATTCAAAAAAACCTCCAGCGAACCATGTGAAGACCATTGTTTGGGAGCAATTGGAGAGATAACTGCACTCCTGATTTAACTAATTTATTATCTTCAGCATACAAAACAAGTAGCTGCAGTAACATCATTACAGTGAGAACAACACAAAATAGAAAGCTTAATCTACATTTCTGATCCAAGCTGTTTAGCAGCTTCAGCTGTACAACTGTGGGAACTAGTGGTACAACTTTACAGAACCCAGCCCTATGAAAACTCATTTTTTGCACAGTGTGCAAATGTGAAGTGCAAAATAAACCATCTTGCACTAGGTAACTGATTAAGATTAGCAAGCCCCAAAACACAGAGCTACCAATGGACTCTGAGTTGTGCAGCCATGCCTCTTCCTATTCCTATTTTATTCAACTTCACTTAATTCCTCTTGGTTCTTCACACGTGTACATCAGTTTCCTGTCTCTGATGCTACAGTTATGCTTACAGATTGTTCTTTTTGAAAGGATTTACGGAGAGGATCAGACAAATAGACAATCTTTTTTACTTTGTAAAATAGCTGAGCTCTCACCAGACTGAGACCTGAAAGAGGTTGTTCCAGTACAAACTACAGTGAAGTACAGAAAGATGGTTCAGCAACACCACAGACCAGACACATGCAAAATATTATGGCAGAACAGGCAGCTTAAGAGTTACCACTTTATATTTTTCTCCTTATTTTCACGTTTTCCTTAACCTAAAGTAACTTATCAAGACTGAAATTATAGAGGCTGCCTTCTGTCCAATATGTTTTTCTGTACCCTGGCCTGAAAATTCGGAGCCTTAAGAGAGACAGTTCAATCTACTATTCTTCTCAAGAGACCTTCTCACTCGTGACTAGCCAGGCTCTGGCCACGAAGCCATCAGCCACAGCTCCAGTGGTGGTGAACACAGCTATGAGAAGCCTTTAGGGCTGCTGAAATCAGCCACCAGGCTTGGGGCAGGCCAGTGTACATCTGCATGAGAGAGGGTTGACTTGCAGCATCAGAAATGCACAACTGAAGACTGTGCAGTCTGAGAGCAAATAGGAAAAGTGTCTCAATAAAAAACAAAACAAAACAAAACACACCACAACTCAGGCTATGCAGCACAGAGCAGAGGGAAAAGCACCATCATCTCCACATGTGCAGAACAAGATAGGAAGAAAAGAGAGGGTGCTAGCTGAATTTTAAGAATTATTTGTATGTTACCATGGTTTCATAACAACTTTAGAAGCTGGAGCTAAGTACAGTAAAGCCCAGGGTGGGAAGAAGAAACCAGCAGCTTTACAAAGCTGCAGAGATGTCCTCCTTTCCTTGCTCACCTGTCCAACAAGCACCTTGCTTTTTTGTTTTGTGAATGTGGCCTCCCCCCAGGCTTCAACACCTCACTACACTACGAAACTTCCCAACCACATGCTGCTTTTGGGAAGGGCCAGGATAGAACCCTTGGTCTGATGTCTAGCAGGCTAAAAGACAACCAGAGAGTAAGCTAGCATAACTACTGGATAGAATTAATCAGAAATCAGAATTTCCCATTTAGATAATATTTCTGAAATGAATACAAAATTGGATATGAATTTCAAACTGGGGAAACCAGGATGCAACTGCAAGGTAGCCACGTATCAGTCTGCCTTTGAGATGAGGAGCTGGAGAGCAGGAGCTGCCTGACCTGTCAAGGAACTCAACTTGTGGCCAATGCTCTGAGGGATCCTCAGCTCTCCGCTGCCACCAGCCTGTCAGGCAGACTGCCAAGGAGCTGCGCAGGAAGGAAACCAGGGAGGTTTCTAACAGAAAAAACATCCCGCTGGAAAATTTCTGACCACTCTAATAATGGGCCTTCTTTTAGAGTCAGTTATGGTGCTGGCAGAAGGTAGGGAGACCCACTGCATTTTCTGTTTAGTTACTGGCTTCCTATATAAATTTCTTTCTATACCAGACACACAGCATCAACTGAAGTAATCCTCAAGAAGGATGTTCATAAATCCCTTCAAACCTCTCCACTGCAAATGACATTGCTTTTCCCGAGAATGATGACAATTGTTAATTGGTGCTATTCAGAAGGTAACATTTTCTTTGGTAAGGTCTTTACTGCTTTAGGCAACCACATGCACTTCTGGCAGTGTCTCTAGACAAGCCTTGTTGGCAGCATACAGTATATGCCTCGCTCGGAAAGACTGCATGAAAAAACAGCTCACTTTCCAGTTCCAATTCCAAGGCTTCATAAACTTGGCAAGGTTGACAACATAATCTGGCCTGACTGCAGGAATAACTGATGCCTGATAGGTAGCATCCCACAAAGCTGCCAGAGCTGCCTGTGCACATGCAGTTACTCTACAAAAGGAGCCCTTCCTAGCCTAACTCCCTCACTACTAACAGTTGACCAACCTACCGTTCGTTGTTCAGGGTCATTCTTGGAGGGTCAAGGTTGGGGTTCTCCATGGACTCCATTTGAGGACAGCGTAGGAAGTAGTAGAGGGTGTGGAGAGCATCAGGGGACCAGGAGATGGGTTGCTGCTGCCGGGTTTGCCGGATGGGGCTCATGCCTGGGCGGATGGTGTTCAAGCACTGCATGTGGTGCATTGCTCGGGATACCAAATCACCTGCACAAAGAGAAAGAATGCAAAAGCATCGCTTTACTATTCAGCCGCAGTCCTCTTAAGTACACTTTTGGAACTAAATAAAATCTCTCCCAGCTAAGAGAAATGTCTTTTGTGTGCACGTATTTCCTTCACAAAGGCACGAGCCATCCTCAAGCTGCTACTCTGCAGGTTGTTGTATGGGAAATTTCACCATCTTTCAAATGACAAGTTATTAGTTAGAAAACAGAGAATGAAAATTCTCTCAGACACCATACATTGAGAACATCTCTACAGTGATTTTTCCATCCTGTTTTATTGCTGGTTTTCTCCTCTTTCTAACCACATATACCAGTTTTTTGCCTGCTTAAAAAAACCCTACCGGTATATTTGTAAAATGTCTACTGCCCAGCCTGGGAGCACAGTGCTCTCAAGGTAAAGCTAGTCACACCAATACAGATACTTTACTCTCATCACCAACATCACCCTCTTAATGTTCTGAGATTGCTCCCATATCTTTCAACTGGGTTATGATATTCTACACTCCCACCCAGGCACTTGTGACAAATTAATGATTTATGTTCGATACAGAAATCCCTTCCTTTAGGGGTCTGCTTCTCATTCTCACTCTAGCTGCAGGTTTCTCCAGAATAACAAGACCTGACTCTCTTATTAAAAAGCCAATATTTATCATGCTGACTGTCACAAACTGTGCCAGAAATTTGCCCCTGAGCCTTGTAAGAAGCTCAATCCAGGAGCTTTCTGGGCTGCTGAATCCTCTTGGTCTTTGAACTCGAGCCAACCTGCCTCTATGTCTGAGTACTGGTGGACTCAAGGAGGTCTGAAAGAAAGTATTACACACTTTCCATTCAGAAAGGATTTTAAGACTGCAGATTTTTTTAAACATTCACAGAGCGATGACCCCAAGACAGTGGCTATGCAGTCACATAAAGCTGGTCTTTGTGTAATAAGCTTGCTTTGGGCACACCCTATTTACTCTCCTTTTATTGTGGTGCATCACAGACTCTCAAGAGCTTTGCAATAAAGGTTTCGGACACTACATCTTTGAGTAATGTGACTATCATACCAGTGAACTGAACGATTACTATAGATTACTATACATAGCTAGGATCTATTTTTTCCTTGGGAGAATCCTCTGTTGCTTTACGTTTTACAGTCCCTAAAACTCTCACAGGAAATGTTACTCTATTGTGTCTTACAGTTACAATACTGGGAAAGGATGGAACTGAAATAGTCGTCCCATCTCAAAGCTGGTTCCTGAGAAAGTGCCCTGAACTTAGCCATGCCACATATGAATTAGTCATGCCTCCCTCTGAAATTCTTAGGAAGTTCTTATTTGTTCATTTATATTTAACAGCAATACACTGAATTTGCCAAACAAACCTCCGGCTGAACCCACAGGGTTCTAACATTACACAGTTAGGGAGAAACCCCCACAAAGCTACTGTGTGTCTAAACATGACAGTGTTATTAGTGGTGCAGATCAATGCAGTATTAAAAACCTCAGTTTGCAATGTAAAGCTGGGCCACTCATTTGTTGCATGGTACATTCAATTTAAGGACCCACTTCAGAATGGAAAAACCTTCTAACATCTCTGCCTTTCCACTTCAGTAGCTCCTGACTCTCCAGGATCTAAACATTTTACGAGAATATCATGAATCCTCTAGCGTTGGTGCTAACACAGAAGTCTGCACAGTTATAGTAGAAATGCATCTGGAATTCAAATTTTCAGCTCAGAATAACGTTCCTTCTCCTTTGTACACTCACGCTCTTTATTTTTCTGGCAATGTGCAGCAACATTTTTTTTTTTTTAAAAAAAAAAGTAGGCAACTCTATCAGGAGATCTATTCACTAGATGTAATGACCAAGTTGGCCAAAGCAGGGACGGAGGAAGAGAGAGAGGAAGCTGTATTCAATCTTCGGCCCATGCTACAAACGTTCGCTTGTGTTCCAGGATAAATAGAGGTGTGTTAAAGGAATTTGAAAACCTCAAATTAAGGCAGGTTGCAAAATAAATGGTGAAACCCACAAACTCCTTGCTGGCCCTGACGTTCATTAGCATTCAGATGGTGGAGACTAAGAAAGTGATGCCAGCAGAAACGTTGCAAGGGAAAAGTAGACAGGGAAAACACAAATCATTTTTGTTTACTTTAAAGGGGCTTTGTGAGTAGTCTAGGAATGGAACATTTCATTTGGTTAGCATTAAAAAAGAAGGTTTTGAACAAGTTTTTGTTACCAAAGTGCTCTCAGATTTTTTTCCTCCTCCACTTTTTGTTTTTTAAGTAATCAAAAAGCTTTTCCTTGAATATCCTGCACCCTTGACATTTCCACTGCACAAACACTAACAAAGAGAAGCCTCTTTGCCATCTGAGGGAGGTGTTACTGCTGTGTTCCACAAATGTACAAGAAAACCTCCAGAGGCATCTAGGCAAAAGCATCCATCTTCTGTTGGCACTAACACCACTAACTACCAAAAGGCTAGAGAAAAGCCACATCTTATACATCTCCAAGGTGAATTAAATATAGTCTAATGAAACAACCTGATTTTCATAAACAGCACCACAAGACAAATCTTACACAACGTTAGCCAAATCCTGCTCATACTGTCAACAATGGCAACAGTCCCACTGACCTCAATAGTGGAGGAACTGGGTCTCCAACTTCACTTAAAACAAACCCATGTTCGATTACATCCAAAACTTACTCAGTTCAGAGATGCTTCCAACGCAAGTTGCCAACAGAGACTGCTCTAAAGTTCGGAGTTCCAGCTGGGCGTAAGCATCAGCCCGTCCATCGCTGCACATGGAGCCATCATTGTATGGGCTGAAGTAGGCAGGCAGAGACAGCACACCTGGGGAGAGAGCAAAGAGTCCTGTTAAAAGGGAAGTTACAGGAGTGGAAAAGCAAGTCTTGCTACCGACAGAAGCGATAGGGAACTTGAACACATTTGCACCTTTCTTGGGGGGACTTGAAGGGAACTTTGAGTAGTTCAAATAAAAAAATCAAACAGTGCTGTAAATACCATTGGAACTGCTGAAACTGTGAAACTAGGCTCTAGGGAGTAAGGCTGGATGTGTCTACAGCCTTTAAAAACTAGAAACAAATTGCAGTTGAGATAAAACTACATGAAAAGCTTTAGTGAAGTCTCTACTATTGTTTATACAACAACTCAGCTGTGCACACACAGCTTGTTTTCGAACAGCTGCATGCAGATTGCTAGATATAAGGACCTGATTTTTAGAGGTGTGGAAGATAACCTCAAGTCCATCTAAGGTAAATGGTAGCTGCAACAGTCTTTGCAACTCTGAAAACAAAACCATGGGCTATGCCAGTTCTTTGAACCTGCATGCAGTTTCAAATGTGCAGACTGTGGTTTCTACATGTGCAAACCTTTGGATATGCCAAACGACACCCACGTGTTTTGAGGTTGACTATATTTTCATCTCTATAAATGACCCTTCTATGAGAGAGAGAGATTAGAAAAATAATTACATTGCACACACGCGTTTACCACACACACACTCCTTCCATTTTATCCTCCTGCACACATGAGAATTAATGCAGTAACTGAACAGAACGACACATTTGCAAGCACTTTTGTGTAGTTGTTATTGGGACCCCATCCTACTTTGTGCACATCCCTACAACTCATTTGCATTGTTGGCAAATTAGAGACTGTTTGCGTGAATGACGGAATGGTAGCGAAGACTGAGGATGCTACAAAAAACCTGACATACAGTTTCACATTAAGATGCAGGCGGTCTCTAAACAGGGCAGTTATCCACCTCCCCCCAGTCATCTTTTTCACCCATTATCGTGGGTCAAGCATGGCAGATCTGCAGCCACAATGCAAGTCAGTGCAACAGAGAGATAAAAAAAATTGCCACCCCTGCTTTCCTCCCCAACATTAAGTAGTTTCTCTTCAATTTAGTGAGCTGCATTTTCTGACCCTTTGGCCACATGATTGCTCTGTGTGACACAGAGGGAAGGGTGAGAATGGGACCCCTAGAGCTGCTGTGAGGTGGGGAGTGTGGGTATGTGACTGAGTCTGGGGTAGAAGAGTGGACCTGCCTCCTCCGGTGGCACCCTGGGGTGGATCTGATGAAACACTGCACCCACAGTGTCAGTGGACTCTGAAAAACCTTCTGCAGTCCCCTTGGCCAGTGTTCTTGTACCCTTGTTGCTATCATATTTTCAGTTGTGTTCAGTTGCACCATATTTGTAATTACGGCTCTATCCCGCAATTCCAGTAGCATGCTCTGGCCCAAGTTTTCTGTGATTTCAGACCGTTACAGCCACAACTGCCTGTGCTCTTAGTCTGCCGCATCCTGTATTTCTGATTTTTCAACTTTGATCCATCCACATCCATACCAATACATTTCAGCTGAGACCCACATTTCCTTCCCACCCTCACCTTCTGACCCTCGTTCAGTCTTAGATGTGTAGATACATTACTCCTATTGCAGTGACCTCCTGTCACATAGGTGCTGTGTATTCTTGTCAAACAAAACTCTGCCAGCTGAATGGCAGTGCATTGTGCAAGACCTTTGTTTCTTTGTCTTGATGTTTTCTTTTGAAATTTTATGCTGAATTGATCTCTCCTACCCTTTTCACATCCTCTTTGCATCCTGCTTGGTGGTAAAGCCAAGGGCTGCATCAAAAACTTCCTGGACATTTTGAGGATAAGGGAATGATTTATCCTGTTGTGCTTCTTCACTGTACATCACTGTTAGTTAATGCAGAAAACTCTGCCAATGCCCTCTGTAACCTGAATAATTAGGAAGTTGAGGCTTTAAGAGCTAACAGAAGTGATGCATGCAAACTAGAAGAGCTTGCTTTAAATAACACTGTAGCCTCCTATACAGAGCCGGAGCCACTTCCTTTTTCATGTTAAAGCTATGAAAGGATGTTTTAGAGACATATGGATTGAATTTATGGCAGAGGAAGAATGAAAATAGACTGATTTGTCAAAAGTTTCAAATAGAGGCATATAATTCTACAGAGGCGAAAACAGAAACTGGCAGTTACATTACTAAGCCAGGCAGAAGAAAAAAAAAAGTACACATTTTCTCTGCCAGCCAGTTTTGGTTGGTTCTGTTTTCTAACAAGAAATTAAAAATAAAGATTTGTAGAATGATTTAAGTTGGCTCACAAATGAAACGTTTTCTCAGTTTTTCAGTTAACAGTTTGCCAGGTGGTGTGGGTAAGAGGAAACAGAGATGATTTATTTACTTTTGGAAAAATTACTCATACAAGATACTTGCAGACAAGATTTATGTTCTCATCTGCCTTGGTACAGCTGAGGAATATTCTCTATGTACAAGAGAGAAATAAGGAAGTTACCAAGACTCTGGCCACGTGCCAAAGCCTGATGATGCTACCGGGGATTTTCCCTGGTATTGCAGTGGGGTATGAATCAAGTCCTCATTACATAAGATTTCACAAAGGCTCCCCACGTCAGGCAGGTCTTGATAGGTATGAGCAGGCCTAGGAATGAGAAACACACCTCTCGACAGTGCTTCTAAGACAGACAGAGAGCAGTCACTGAATGGGCAGCAAAGTAGAAATATACCCCACAGTTCCTATGTCTTGCAGCATGCTAATCAAGATTTCCTCTCCAGTAAGTTTCCAGTAACTACACAGAGTTGGAAAAGCATCATCTTTGCTCTTCAGATCAGAAATTTAGGCACAAGGTCATCTGCAGTCAAGCTTTGCCCACTGGTATTATAATTAGGAACAAGACTTAATCTTTAATACAAATTTAAAAAAAAAACACTGTTTGATAACAGAGACAACTGCACTGTGATGGCTACTTGTACCCCAAATGGTGGTACCTGCTCTCCTCCCACCCAAAACAAGAAATTCACAGTCAAAATATGTTATAAAGGTATTAAACGAAGGGGCAATTTCTATTTCTATCTGGCATTCATATTTCTGTATTTTTCTAATTGTGGCAATGCTGGCTTTAATCATGGCTAGCTAAATAAGCAAAACTGTAATTGAAGTAAATCAATTCATGTCAAAACATTCTCTGTTTGAAATCACATTAAAACTGCCCATTTATTTCCTGATGTTCAAGAGTGCATTTTCCCCACAAAACAACAATGTGAAACAGCACGTAATTACTGTGCAGGAACAAAACATTCAGGCATACACACCACTGTTCTTGTAGTATTTTCTCTGATGTGGGCTATGCTGTGTTTCCTACACATCCCTGGCTGTATCCTGGAATTCTGGTCACATTTGGTTTTTTTAATTAACCAAGATTTTAAGTATGGGATCCAAGCCCAGGTGAAGTTAGCGAGAGTCTATTAATTTGAGCGTGGCTTAAATTAAACTTCAAGAGCACAAGGAGCTAAGAAGTCACCTCTCTAGAATGGTGTGAGGCAACACCCTGTAGCAGCCCAATTGAAAGCATGTTTGTAGCACTGCGATTAAGGCACGGCTGGCTAACAATTTGTTTCTGATATTTCCACAGCCTTTGAAATAGCAGCTAGAAATAAAGGCATATTTATTCTACTTCTGTTAAATATAAAACCTGTTCATGGGCATTTGCTGCCAACAATCTTAAAAGGCAGTCATGACTGGTGAAATCCCAGTTAAACAGTTCCTTAAACTCAATTTATTCTACTTGCCTAAAGATTTTGAAGTTGTTGTCTGTAATTGGATGCTTTTTAATAGCAACTGAAAATGTTTCCTCGGTCTGAGCTAGGTCCAGGGAAAAGTCTGTTCACACTCTTGCACATCTTTCTCCTTTAAGAGGTGCAGCAGTTCTGCTGAGAGCTTTGGCTATAACGCGATTGCTCCCATGAGCGGGGCTGTCCAAAACTCTCATGTAGTTTCCCTGAGCTGGGCAATCAGTTCAGCCTCAAGCAAGGCAGCTTCTGTAAGGAACCCTGGGCCCACCTCTGAATGTCCTGTGATAATTCAGGGGCTGGCATCAAGTTCTGCTCTTATGGTATCAAGATAGAAGGAAATGCAGACTCTTATCTGAATTTTATTTTAAGATTTGAATGTCTAAAAACCTTATTTCCGATAATTTTTGAAGTACCCATGTTACCCTCACACTTCAATGCTGTTTGCATGTTACATTCATGAAAAAGGACTAGCCATAATTTGTACCCTGCTGTAATGATTTTCTCTGTTCTTTCCTTACTTTAATGTAGGGAGACAACTTCCTAGCAATTAACTCAGTGCCCATTTGATGACTTTCAAACACTTACATGTTGTCTGGAAGTCAAGATGGGACCACTCACAAATGGCAAAGGGCCTAGGAGACTGGTCTGGAAAGGACTCAAATTCTGCTGTCTGGGATTCCTCACAGAAATTGCCCAGGGTACTAACTCCTCTTTTTCAGAAATGCACTGCCTGCATTCATGACAGGTTAGGCAAAGAATCAGCAATATAATTAGGACAGGGGTATAGACTGTAAAGTATTCGCACACAAAAAGTGCTTTTTCTTGGATAAACCTAGCAAAGTCTGTGAGACACTACAATGTATATTGATTTCTCCCTTTGGCTGGAATAAAAACAGGCTCTCTGGGCAAAGATTCTCTCTGTGTATTGTCTTTGCATTGCACCTAGAACAGTGGCCATCCTTACTGATCACTACTGTAATACAAATTAGCACAATAGGAAACAAGTATCTGTGTGGCAAAACCAACCAGAAACGAAAGCCCTCAGAAAATTCTGGGTTGTCTTCATACATTATAAATTGTTTCTAAAAGCCCCTAAATACTGCAAAAAGCCACATATGTGAAATCAGAACTGCTGTGAATATGCTAGAAATATGTATTAGGAAACCAAGTGAGAAAAAGTGGTCCTGGTCTCCAGCATCAGTGTTCTTCTGCA